AGTAAGAGTAAATGTAGCTGTGCCTTCACTTTCATCCCATAAAAATCTATCCAAGTCCCTTTGTCTCCCTCTCTCTCTTACAAGGGTTCAGTTTTATCAGCCACCCCTAACTTTTACTTTTACACTTATAATGCTGTGCTATTATATACTGTTATTCTGAATTCTTGCATTTCCCAGAATTTTTTTTACTAAAATCTTGAGTCATATATCTTTACATTACCTGGGCTTGTCCTACTTCGGTGGCTGCCACTGGCTGTACTAAGGATGCATCAACAACATCTCAACGTTCTGTGAAGGCATCTTAATTCTCCCTTCCTTTGTGATAGCTATCTTACTCCAGTTGGGACATCCACATTCATCTACCCACCTCTAAATGAGCTCTCCTGAATTCTGAAAAATCCCTACAGGTAAACTGCTATTCCTTTGATGGTACCAATGACATTTTTATGTGTTGGAACAGTGACACTCCAGCTCCCACTTCTATCCTTTCCACAAGACTGCTGTATCTAATTTCAAGGTACCCTTGAGATGCCAACACTGTGAGTTTTTTGTGAAACATTCTTTGAAAATATGTTTTAATGTATTTATTGGTACTATGCAGAGTACAAAAAAATTGCCATTACCCCAGTATAAAGATCAGCACTTGGTTTCATTTCCTCATTCCCTCCCCTGGGGTAGGTGGGAGATCATTTCACTCCCTGGCTGTGCTATGTGTGCACATCTTACCTTAGCTTTAGCTTCTACCTGAGCTCCATTTTGTATTAGGTATCGAACAACTTCTGTTTGGCCAGCTCTGGCAGCCATATGTAGTGCTGTTTCTCCTCTCTAATATGTGAAAGCAAAATATTGTTAAAGATTCAAACAAACAAACAAAAAGGATGTTTTATGACTACAAAAGAAATTGTGACCCAGTTTAAAACCATGCACAGAGGAATATTTTAGGATCTGTTTGTGAACAGAATGTGGAAGCAAATCAGTATCTGACCTCTAGATCTGTCTTGTACAGTGATTAATTCCAGCAACATTTTCCCAATATACATTTGTGCTATTTCATTTTGTTGAGAAGAGAAAAAAATCTTGCTCACTTATAGGGTACTTGTAGCATTAAAATGATGTCATATTAAATGACCAGTCAGTTGGCTGAACATTTAAAATAATTTCAAGTTTTGTGCAATCAGATGTCAGACTTTTCTTGGCTTCCCTGCTGTTATGCTCTATGTCATTTGGATGAGTGAAGAGGAACTCTCCCTCTACCCCCACCCCATTAAGTATATAAATCCAACTCTTCATTGGTTTAACAAAAGATATATCTCCAAATAAACAAGAACAATCTCAAAAGGGAAATTGCTTTTTAGATTTTTGTACTTCATAGGGCCTTTTAAAACCATCTCTCTCTCAATTCTCTAAATGGCCTTGCCTGCACATATAATTTAACAAGATGTATACAACAAACCTTTAATACAATACTTTCTTTTAACTGTGTCTATATCAGAATGTTAAAGGGAGCCTTTAATGCAAATTGTTAAAAAGCTTTGACATCTTTATACTTTTTGCTCTTTGCCCTCAATTTCAGTTTATTAAAGATACATCTAACAGCAGCTTTATTCTCACAAACTCAGTTTGAGCCTTGGAACATGCAGTGCACATCCAGTAGAAGTGCACTTTTATGGTAGCGTGGACACATGCAATATGTTCTGACAATCTGCTGCAATCTGCTGGCAACAACAAAACTGGCCTGAAGTGGCAAGACATCAGTGTACTATGGATGCAATACTCAGAGATGTGCACATCTCCAATGATACACAACAAGCTCTGAGTGAGTTCTAACTCTGTATCTTGGCATACAGGAAAATAAACAGAAACATTTTACAATAAAACTACAGCAGAATTTTTTTTTTTATCTCAAGTGATGCACAGAAATGTCCACTATTTTTAATAGGAGCTTTATAGAGGTAGCTACAGAGGAGCTCTATAGAGGTCCCTTAATAAATGTCATTACCAGATATTCTCACTCACATGTTTCTGAAAATAAAACTGTTGCTTACCACATTGGTGGTGTTGGGTGATGCACCATGATGCATTAATTGTGATACAATATTTACATGTCCCATGAAGGCAGCAACATGGATTGGAGTTAGGCCCGACTAAAAACAGACAGACAAAATTAACCATCTAATTTTACATGATCTTTTTTTAATACTGCTTTCTTAGAGGAAAAACGGACTTGTTTAAAATAAATATGCCTCAATCTCCTCACCTTATCTTTTAAAGGCTTACACCCGGGCTGTCCAACTTCTGATTGTCCACAGGCTGTGGGCCCTGCCATCCTGCCCCCAGGGACAGGGGCAGGAAGTGGAAGATGAAGGAGGAAGGAAAACTCAGAGACCCTGGTAGCAGTGGTAGCAGCAGCAATGTGAGAAGTGGTGCCCAGGTGAGGGCCAAAAGTTAACTCCTAGTGGGCTGTACGTGGCCCATGGACAGCCATGATTTACACAAATTCTGAGCTTTAAGTGAAAACATTTGCATACTTAAAAGTAAGTACATGCAGAACTGGAAACTTATATGTGGTTATGGTTGGTGGGTATTAATAACAAACATTTTGAATGTCAGCAATGTTTCAAATATAAAGATTACTTAGAAAGCCAAAATGTTTCTTCCACTTAAACATCTGCTGCTATGATAAATGGTCTCATCTTTAAAGGAGGTAAAAAAAATTTCATCACAGACCAATTTTGGACCAGAAAATAAAAATGAATAGAATAATTTCTGATAGGAAGATACAATTTTTGCTAAAAAGGCATCTAAAAGGTGAGTGGAGCCTTTCTTCCCAAATGTTGCCATTAATTTCCTGGATTAAGGATAATGTTTATTTATCATGTAGATCAACTTCATCCCATTGCCTCTATGACAGGAGGGGAGTTCAAATCACTGCATCTTAGCTGAGTGGAGGGTGAAGAGTATTACATGTGCAGAGTAGTCCGTCCTTTCCTAGGATGGTGCTCTATCACTGGAACTCCATAGTGCTGACTGTCCACAGGATATATAGTTATAGAAAGGGGAGCAACCATTCACCAGGGTACTCACCCTGCACTGACCCTAGGGAATTTGCATCAGAAATCCAATCAATAGTTAATAGTTCTCCAAGTAGATTAGCACCCTCCAAGTCCCCTTCACATCTGTGGCTACACAGCAGAAGTGGAAGTCAGCCAGAGGCCAAATGGGTTTTTAGGGGTGTTGTTGCAAGGGACAGAGGAGATATAAGAGGTAGAGATCTCTTGATTTGGGGAATGGTCTCCATGATGCCATTCCACCAGAACAGTGAGTTGGAATTATGAAACCTACTGTGAAAGGTATATGATCTATATAAAAAAAATTACAATAATAGGTAGTTAGCTGTACAGTAAGGATGACAAATGCCAAACCACAATTGGGACCAACTTTTTCAATTATCCTAATCCTGAAAACCCTAAAACAGTGGAACTTGGTTCTCTTCAGATTTCTTTGGGGAAGAACAGTGTGAGTGTCTGGATAATTTACTGGCAGCCAGGTGAGAGACTGTCACCTTTATTTTGACTACAGATGTAGTGACTTTTAAATGTGCTATTTCTAACTTCATCTTGGAAGCTCATTGTAATATACTGATGACCCATCACACAAGTGGAAGGCAAAACACTGGTGCTGCCAAATTTGTTGAGCAATTCTTGCTCATTCTTTTAAATTATTTTTACTCCTTTGCACTATGTGGATAAGAGTTGGATGAACTACCTATTTCCATAGTGATGAAACTATAAATAGGGAGCACAAACACAGCATCTCAATACATAATTTTCACTGTGTGTCTCTCACTTATATGCTTAAGGAGCTTAAAGCTAGAACCTGCAGACTGGATCATAACTCCCATGGTGTGGAGGTCATAACTAGAATAGATTCCTTTAACGGGATCTGTAATAGTAAGAACTTTACTAAGAGCAAGAGTTTTGCATGCTGTGCTAATAGCAAAAGTTTTGCATGCTGATTCCATAGGAGGCCGGTGAAGTGGCACATATCCTGCTGCTCTGTGAGTGTGACCGAGCCATGAACCTACACAGTAGAATGTTGTGATACAGTAGAATGTGGTAAACACCAGGTGGGTCGGATCATGACTCATCACCATATTCCTAGCTTGAGATAACGTTGTTTACTTCAGACTATATAAGCTGTATATTCTTGGGTTGCTGTGGGTTCCCTCACTCTGGCAAGAGTTCTGACTTGCGTGGAGCCCCGGCACAGGCTATCGCACCCCTGGGATCGGAACACTCTGGGGCCAGGGGAACCATGCGGGGTAGCGGCTGCTGCCTAAGGCCGATGTGAGGTGACCGTCCTCTCTGCTCTGTTCTATCGCCTACCTCTGCAAATATCCTTAAATAAAGCTTTGCAAGGGTGAAAACAACTGTAAGTATGTCCTTTGTTCAAGGATGGGGAATCTTCTGGACCCACGAGTTCAGTCTAAGACAGGATCAGATGTCTGTTCCTTTGCAGAAGCATTAGTTAGACCCTCATTCAAACCACCATGTCCTCATGTAGAAAAAGTTCTCCAATTATCACCTTGTCAGTTAAGTAAGGTGCTGTAATTTGCCACTCAGTTATTTGAAAACTTGAAATAAATAAATCCACACTTCAAAGATTTGGGAGGTAAACTGTTCCCAATTATATCTTGTTTAATTTAATCAATGGAACAGCTAATCCTTTTCTAATTTGACTTATTACCTTTGTACAAGTGACCTTTATTCCTAATTGGTAGGGCTTTTGTAAACATGTAAGAAACAAATTTTCAACTGGTCTCAGTCAGCTTCCAAATTTGTGCCCATCATTTTATTGCACAATCATATACAGGACCAAGTAACAGCACAATAATAGGCTATCTGATTTGTCATGACAAATTACTGTGACTGGATTACAATAAATTAAATAACCTTTCAAAACCGGCCTTTAGTGAAACACACACCTTGCACTGGCCTGCTGCATATTTGCCAGTTTTATCCCATATGTTTAAAACTGCAGATACAAATGCAGAGATCTTATTTTTTTTTATTTGCCCATATGTTTGATTAAATATAATTCCTGGGTGCTGAAATCCATCATCTTTGTAGGTGTTCTGATATGCAATAGTAAGTTACTTTGTAATTTCAGTATTTGTTAAACCACTTGCATTTTGTTAAAAATCATTTTAAATAGTAATAATGTATGTTCCTCAACCAGTGTCCATGCATTATATAGTTGAATGGTGTTGTATTTGTGCTAGGAACAAAGCAGCATGTGCAAACAATGCCTTACCTCAGTTACAGCTTGGATAGATGCACCATGTTTCAGGAGAAGCTCCATAACTTTAATTCTGTTTTTCTTGCAGGCAATGTGAAGAGGTGTGAAGCCATTCTGTTAATGAGAAAAGATGCACTTTCAGGCACCACCTTTGCAATTACTAAAGTATAGTACATGGGTTTTTCTGAAGCATTGTTTTTCAGCAATACCGGAACATACAAAAACTTGTTTCAGTTTGGCTGAATTGCTCATGTTAAGACAAAAAAACAAAGGCAGAAATACCTAGAAAATTTGGAATGTTTCATTTTGACATTTTCAAAATTAAACATTTTGTTTTTTCCATTAAGAGCATTTTTTTGTTTTGAAACTTTCTTTCATTTCATCAAATGTTTTAAAAAGCTCATTCTACCCATTTTCTTTTCATTTCTAATTTTCCTACACTTTTTTAAAAAGTCATTTTGGGCTAACCCAAAATATTTGTTGTGTTTTGTTTTGTTTTTAATTTTTCATAACCATTAGCAAACCAGAAACTTAGGTAGTTGCACAGTTCTATTTCTTAGGGTTATTTATTGAAATTTTTGCCCCTCACGAATTTTGTGCCACTTAATATTAATAAGATGTGTTTGTCATGTGATAATAATATGCAAATATATTTTTAAGGAAAAAGAGTTGCACTTGTAGCATTGTGCACATTTAAAGCTGGCACCTTGTTGGTGGGGAAATAATAAGAACTCAACTGAAGCAAGAAAGCAAGATGTCCAGACCATCCAAGAATGATGCAGCATTGTTTACAATATTCTCTTGAACATTGATGCCAGTCTGAATACATATCACAGAGTAGTTTTAAAAACAGCTGACAAAACTGAACCTCAGATCAGATCAAAATTAGCTACATTACTGACTAATAAAGAACACTAGATACTTCATAGCATGAGGTCAGTGCGACTGTCTGCTTCAGTTTAGGGTAAACGTTGTAGTTCATCCCCCCAGCATAGCATAATGACCAGGCTAAGACTAGACTAAATTACTGCAAAATGGACAGAAATGAAGACAGACAGAACTGTCTGTTGAAGACTATCTTAATGGAAGGAGGCTCCTTAGTTAGTGAATTACTCAAGTAATTTTAATGTTTTACCTTGTTTTCTAGGATATTGGGCATGTTAGGAACATCTGAGTAGGGAAAGGCTTAGACAGAGTACACTGGATTCTACCTACTTTTAGTCAGCTCATGTCTTCAGGAAATTGTTAGAACGTAGCACAACAGTTTAGTGATTGCTAAAATTATACTGGGGCTGGACATGGAACGCAGGAGGTGCTATTAAAGCCCTCTTTACTCCCATCTCATTCTTTATGTTAAGAATTCAACTTTATGCAAGTGAGTTAAGGAATAATGACATGTAAGCTTTCTAAGCAGAGCAGTAATTGAATACTCTCTTTTAGAGCTGTGCAAAGCTTTGGTCACTGATTCAATTTAGAGGAGATTTGGCCCGATTCAGCAGCCAAATCTTCAAATCCAAATCAAATCAGGAGACCCATTAATCTCTCTGAATTGAACTGGAAGCCTCTGATTCGATTTGAAGAGATTTGATGATTCAGCCATAGACACAGCTTTATATGTTTTTCTACATAACTCAAGGTACCAGGCACAGCTCGTGAATGCTGATATGGTGGGTAGGATGGAGTGTCCCATGGGAGCACTAGTGGGGTCCCTCATGCATTTGCCGGTGGACCCAGAAGTGGACCAGAAGAATTTCTGGTCCACTTCCAGGTCCCCCACAAAGTGTGCAGGGGACCCCCCCCTCCGGCTCAGCGACTGATGCCTGTTAGGTCTGGGGGGTACCCAGGGTCCTCCTCGTGGCTGATTGCCGAGCTAGGGGGTGCAGTGGGGGGGTCAACTTCTGGTCCACTTCCACTTCCAGGTCCACCACCGAGCGCACTGCGTGCTCCTGTGAAACACTCCATCCGCCCCACCATCTCAGCATTCACAAGCTGCACCTGGTACCTTGAGGTACACAGAAAAAACATATAAAGCTGTATCTATGGCCAAATCGCAGATTCTCCAAATCAACATTGAATCTTTAGATTCAGATTCAGCTGAATCAAATCAGGACAGTGATCCAAATCAGCGAATTGAATCACTGTCCCCCAAATCGGGCCGAATCTGAATCCAAATTGAATACTGCCCACTTCACACACCCCTACTCTCTTTCAAGCCTGCTCCAAATGTTCTGAAACATGAAATGAGGCATCAGTTATTTCTGAAGGCAACACTAAGTAATACACACTGTCTTACCAATGGGAGAGAAAAGGAACCCATATAGTAAGATGAGGGAATAGATAGAACTGAGTGGCTGAAAGAAAAGAAGCTTTTGAATCGGAACTATTTGTAAAAAGAACTCAAACCCACCCTGATTTTGCATAGGTTTGGAGTTCTATACTCATGACTTACTTAGAAAATCAATACTTGCATAGGACTGACGTGGGTATAACAACATATAAAACAAAAATATAATTAATGTAAGAATTTGAATATGTTTGGGATGACTGTTAAAGATACATTTATAAAGACAGATTTTTTAAGATAGTAAGCCATCAGTATATTTCAGGACAAAGCACAGGTGTTGTGGCAGCAGTTTCCTTGTAATAACAGTTGTAGTGTTGAGTTGGCTGGCTGTTTTTTTGAATATAGAAAAGTTATCAAAAAGATGTCAGTCAGTAAGTCATAGAATGCTGTGGATATTTGCTATGCCACTTTTTCTTATTTCATAAAGGCTGCAGATACAATTCCTCTTGCCAAACATTAGAAAATCAGAATCTCTTTCAAATTAACTGCTGTATCAGTTAAGATGTCAGTCCCCCAGTCTATCCTAAATCCCAACAAATAATCAAAACGTAAGGACGGCTCTTATTTACACCAGAAACCCAATACATCACCCTGAACACAAATAAAGCTTTATGCAGATAACACAAAGAATGTCAACAAATGATAATGGCATTTTATTTTTGTGGACTCCATGCAAATACAGTGTATTACCCTCACTGAATGCCAGTTCCTGTCAACTTTCAAGAAACAGAAAAAACACTCAAATATTAGCCATTACAACTTTGAAAGAATGTTTAGCTGTGAATAGTAAGCTTCTGTGTACTCACCAGTGCTTTGGCATTAGGATTAGCTTTTTTGTCCAAGAGAACCTTGGCAACTTTGTAGTGGCCACAGTGGGCGGCAACATGCAGTGCAGTCAGATAGTCATTAGTGACATCATCAACAGGCACGTTGTGCTGAATCAGAAGCTGAACACAGTTTAGATGATCTCCTTGTGTTGCCATATGCAACGGAGACAAACCATTCTGTAAACAAAAATAAACTAACTGAATAGACAGATATATGAAAACGTTTGTGACTGAAAACTTTCTTTGAAGCACAGCTTTACAAGCTCTATTGTTATGTGAAATCCCACACTACATCAAATGGAAACTAATGCACTGGAGAAAATTCTGAAGTCTGCTTAAAACAAAAACTATGGCTAGTCCCTTCCCCCTCAGCTTGTATCAGCTTTTACTAGTACATGGGTGTCCTAAATCACATGAATCTAACAAGCAGGAGCATTTTTATGCTAGATCATCTATACTAGAAGTTATACCCATATATAAATACCATTAAAATTATATAACTATATTAACATCACCCTTACTATACAAACAAATGCTTGGACATAGGAAACATGGACAAAGTAAAACCTGTGTAAGGAATTTTGGATGGAGCCAAATGGAAAGATTTCTATGGAGACAATAGCTGCATTTGAGAACTGTTTTTTGCACTGCATATAACACTTAGGCAACTAAGTGTGAATCATTAGTCACATTAAAATAAATTAAATACATGCACACACACCAATGACAGAAATGAATTATTCTCTCAGACAGAATTATCAGTGACTGATTCTTTTTCATAGAAAAAATACACAGGTACAAATTGATGTTGTTTGAAGAAATGCACATTGGTTTCTTAAGCCAGATACAGTACCAAAAACTACCATCTGCATTTTGAACTGCCAGTTATTTAGCTTTATTTTTCTAAAGCCAAAAGCATTCTGTAAATTTTTAATATTCAATTATTCAATTATTTATACTTAATGAAAACAGATTCCATTTCACTTACTATCACAGTAATGCTTTATCTTGGTGATAATGTAATCCAGATAGCTGAAATATGGCTTTTAGATCTAAAAATACCACAGACTTACTGCCAAGAAAAATTTAAACTCTTTTTCACAGATGTGGTGCCCTTATGTGACCATGGGTAACATAAGCAAAACACCAATATAAATGCTCAGTAGTTGTATTTCTCAGCTTTTCTGAAACCGAGGCCTCCTTTTTTCTAATAAGCCATATGATATGAGAAATGACAAAAATTACAAAAAAAGGAGCAAATGCATGATAAAATACATGTTAAAAAGCAGCAAAGAAGAATGAAAGAGGGTGAAAACAAGCATGGCATCTGAATTACATAATTCTAAAGCAGTCTCAGCTGGATCACATCTTAGCATAGGACTCATGAGCATGGCTCTTCCTGTACACAGTGATGCAGATCAGCTCCCTTTCCATTTCCAGTGGGAACTACTGCAGTTATTTACTTGATATTTGGAAAGTATTTGATACATTTTAGTTGTCTTTTAATGTGATTTAGCAATTTAAAACAAAGGGGAGAGTTAGCACTAAATAACAAAGCTCTCCAGACAACAGCTTGAGAACCGCTGATGTGACAAATTCCTGTAAGCCATTCTGATTACAGTGAGAATTACCTAGAAGATGCAGGCACAATTAAATATTGTGCACTGTTAAATATTTAGTGAAATGTAAACAATAACAGTGAATCCATCACACATGTATAACCCATAAGTGAGTGGGACAACTTGGAAGGCATGGAAGGTATTCAGAGTCTCAAGGGTAGCTATAAGGGAAGGAACTGTATATTAAAGATAAAGTAGAAATGTGCGGGAAGGAGTCAGGAAAAGATCAAAACATCCAGCAGACAAATGTGAGGAGTAGAGGCTAAGGGAAAGTAGGAAGGGAGCAGAGGTCATCAAGGAGCATACTAATATGGGAAAGTTAGCAGAAAACTGGAGAAAATCTTTTGAAGACCGGAAAAGTATAACTAGGAGCAAAAAGACCAGGGCACAGAGCCAGACTGAAAAGAAATTTTGCAATGGACACGTAAAGGATGATGGAAGACTGGTGTTTTGGTTAAAGCACTGGACCCAAATGGGGTTTATTCTTGGTTTTGCTAGATTATCAATAAAATGTGATACTCTAGACAAATCATTTAATATTTTTGTGCCTGTATCACCCACCTGTAAAATAAAAGTACAGGGCAGATCATTACTCCCCCTTCCACATCCAAGTTGTGAGACATAATTAATTAATGTCTGTAAGCAGTACTTTGGGATCCCAAGATGGAGCAGCTATCTGAACTCCTGTGATAGTAGTATGGCCTTCTGGCCACTCTTAAAAGGATCTCACAGCACTGCAGGGCACCATGCCACTCTAGATGAGAGTTACCAATGTACTGGATTGCCACTGGGAACATAAAATGTGAAGTAGCTGAGTAGAAATCGGAGAAGATCACAGGCCAGCTATGGACAAATGTGCATATGGAACTTTGTTTTTAAAAAAAGGAGCGGCTGATCAGGAGTGGACAACAAATGTTATTTTCTAAGAATTACAGATGTACAACTTGGGAGTGATATATATGTAGCAAAACTGCTCTAATTTGAACCTTAGATGAACCAGTATTAAAGTTAGAGCTGTTTTGCTTCGTTTGTATTGCTCCCTGCATTTGTATTGCTCCCAGCTCCCCTACACTTAACTGTTAGAATGTAACAGCTGCTGCAGGGTTTGGAGAAGAGTCCTTCCCCTCTTTTTAAATGACTCCAAATGTACTTTATTCACACCCATGGGAATACAGCAAGATATGGATGGTTATATGATGCTTGAGAAGAAAAGTAGTAGATGACCAGATCAAATTCCACATCAAAGAGATGACTGGCAAAGACCCATCGTATTGAAAACCAGTAACAAAGATAACACTTAGCTCTTACATAGCAATTTTTATGCTTCCTCTGTAGATGTTAATATGTTTCATGCTGGGCAGAGGTTCAGTTTAATTAAATTCACCTTTTTTAAAAACATGGACACTGATGCACAGAGAAATGATTAACTTTGCCCAATTACCAAGGGCATGCAGCACAGCAGAGTGGGGACAGACAGTATTGTGGCAGATATGACAGGGACCAGAAAGCAAAGCAGCAGATCAAGCAAGGAATGCAAAAAACACAGAGGCAGACTGGGCAGGAAGCACAGAACCGGGAGCAGAAAGCAGAACAGCAGCTCAGGCAGAGGAAGGGGATCAGAGTGGCACCTGGAATGGATATGGGGCTAATTTGTAGCACGCCTGCCAAAAAGGTTGCCCCCCTACTGTAATAAGAGTGGAGGTCCTTTCAAGGGTGCCACAGGTGTCATGCAGTTCGAGCACTGTTAGGTTTGCAAGCACCAACACAGAATACTCAGGACTAGAATGTGTTCAAGTTAGCAGGCCTGGATGAGCTGCATCCACGAGTACTGAAGGAATTGGCTGGTGTCATAGCAGAACCACTGGCACGGCTGTCTGAACACTCGTGACGCTCGGGTCAGGTCGCGGAGGACTGGAAAAGGGCCAATGTGGTCCCTATTCTGAAGAAGGGGAGGAAGGAGGATCTGAATAATTATAGACTAGTCAGTGTCACCTCGATCCTTAGAAAGATCTTTGAAAAGATTATGAAGGATCATATTTGTGGGAGTCCAGCCAGAAAAATAATGCAGCAGGGAAATCAGCATAGCTTCATAACAGGTAGATCATGCCCTACCAATCTGGTTTTGTTTTATGACAGGGTTGCAAAATGCTTAGATGCAGGAGTAGAGGTGGATGTTGTTTTCTTAGATTTTAGCAAGGCCTTCAATACAGTATCTCATCCCATTCTCATTAAAAAATTAAGAGACTGTGACAGATGTTTACACGGTCCGGTGGGTGGCCAATTGGCTTAGTGGTTGCACCCAGAGGATGGTAGTAGATGGGTCGGTATTGACCTGGAAGGATGTGGGTCGTGGGGTCCCACAGTGTTTGGTCCTTGAATCTGTACTTTTCAATATCTTCATCAGAGACTTGGATGTGGGTGTGAAGTGTATTCTGTCCAAGTTTGTGGATGATACTGAATTGTGGGTTGAAGTGAACACTCTGGAGGGTAGGGAATGATTGCAGGCAGATCTGGACAGGTTAGAAAAGTGGGCAGTACACAATAGGATGCAGTACAATAAGGACAAGTGCAGAGTGCTGCACCTAGGGTGCAGAAATATCTAGCACACCTACTAGCTGGGAAGTGACCCTCTCAGAAGCACAGAAGTAGAAAGGAATCTTGGAGTCATAGTGGACTCCCAAGATGAACATGAGTCGTCAGTGTGACAAAATCATCAGCAAAGCTAACAGCACTTTATTGTGCATCAGTAGATGCATGACAAATAGAATCAAGGAGGTGATACTTCTGCTCAGTGGTCAGATGGCAGTTGGAGTACTGCATCTAGGTTTGGGCACTGTACTTCAAGAAGGATATTGATAGACTCGAGAGGGTCCAGACGAGGGCCACTCATATAGTTAGGGGCTTACAGGACAAGCCCGATGAGGAGAGACTGAGGGACCTGAATCTCCTCAGGCTCCACAACAGAAGGCTGAGATGTGATCTTGTGGCTGCCTACAAATTCATTAGGAAGACGCTGCAAAGGATTGGAGATGCTCTGTTCACCAGGGCGCCTCTTAGGGTAACAAGAAACAAAAGTCACAAACTGACAGAGAGCAGATTTAGGCTAAATATCAGGAAAAATTTCTTCATGGTAAGGGTGGCCAAAATTTGGAATGGGCTTCCAAGGGAGGTGGTGCTCTCCCCTACCTTGGGGTTCTTTAAGAGAAGGCTGGATAGGCATGTGGCTGGGGTCATCTGACCCCAACACTGCCTAGGCAGGGGGTCAGACCCGATGATCCATTGAGGTCCCTTCCAACCCTAGCATCTATGAATCTATAAACTGAGCCAAGGGTTTTTTTTCCAGAGAACAATATTGCAGTTCAGTGCCAAATGAATAGATTCATTAACATCATTCAAAGGTATTCTGCTTTAGACAAATATAGTCTAAATTAACATATCAGAGAGAGAATGGAACAAGCAATACTTCTCTTTTCTTATGTTAATTTTTTAATATCTAGTATTGATTCCCTCTCCCCTGAAGAAAGGCTTGTATAGCATTTTAGTGTTTGGTATTACATTGCCATGGAGAATCATATAAGCACAATTTAAGCCAGTTCTGTAGCATGTGGCTCTACAATTTCAAACCTGAAGCACATACTCTTACTTTTCTAATAGATTTTTTTTAGGTGAGGCCACAACATTTGGGGAAGTTTAAAGATCTCATTCTTTAAAATGACTATGTCTTTGAAGGGACACATTGGAAAGGAAAAAAAAGGTTAAAAAACTCTTAAAGAATAAACTAGTATTCAAATAGGTGGTTAAGTTTCAAGGTAATTAATATCAGTGCTGCACATTCTAAAAACAAGGGATACAGTTCCTGAAAACTGTGACCGTGCTATATTTAACAGAAACAAAACAACAAGGCTAAAGTTGTTTATGTGAATTTAATCACAGACCCACCAAAGACGGGGGAGAGCTATTGGAAGGCAGGGTAGATTAAATCTGGGCAGGGAAGATGATTTAGTTTGAGGGAGGTAAGTCCATAGAGAAAGGTGCATAGCCTTCTCTCCATATAAATGTGCTCCAGGCTTGGGTACAGATATTCAAAAAGCCTGAGGCGGAATTGATCTACATTATGTGGTTTTCTGTAAGCTGCAAAGTTTAGATCATTACAGAACACACATTTGCCCTTTGGTGGTGGGAGGGAAAATCTTTAACTGGGTTCTGCTATTTTACACCAGTCTGTGTGTGCCAAACTTCTGTTCTGTTATGGGTATAGACTGGTTTCCTATCACTTATACTGGTAAAAGTATCTGTACCTGGCCCAGGTATCTCTGTGAAGGCTATGTGTATTCACACCCTGCTCAAACAGCTGCACATCATATCAGCAGCAGTAGGAGGAGCTCACATGTGCAGGGCTACAAGTTCAGAGCTTTGGGAGTCAATGGCAATTCTGCATACAGATGAAGGGAAGATCTTCTCATTTGCTCATGTCACATTATTTATGACAGGATATGTCAGGGACATGAGACAGACCAAAGATGGTGCCATATCCAAACTACTTGCTAAATATTCCAGTGGGAGGGTGGGAGGAAGGGGGTCTAGAGGGGAGAGAGAGAGAAAAAAGGAAAGACAGAAGATGATAAGAGGACAGGATAGAGAAAAAAAAGAAACAAAATAACACATGGAAACAAGAAATACTTTAGCAAAATGCTGTTGCATGGCACAAGAAGAGAAAGGATTGCAAAGAAAGGGGCTCCAAAAACCTGTACTGGTACAATGAAAATTTTTATAGCAGTGTTCCCACCCATACATATCAACTTCAGTGGAAGAAGGCATACATAGTATGGTGGTGTCATTAGAAACTCAATTGCTATACATACATCAGAGCTATCCCTGGTATCTGAAATAACACTATGTAGGGAACAGCATCAAATGCTCATTTTCATGATAATCCTTGTACCTGAAGTTGGCTGCCCACCCGAATGACTGTGATTTGTAATTTTCATGAAGAGCCTCATGAAAGGAAAACAATGAATTTCACATATTTTAACAAAGTATAGGGATAAGAGATGGAAACATTTAGTAATCAGCCTAACAACTCAGAAAATGAGAGCTCCTCTGTAGAGAGACATTACTTTATTTTTATCATTTAACTCTACTGTGGCCTTGTGGTACTTCTGTAACAAGTTAAAGCCTCAATGTAATCTGTATACCTTCATTCCAAGCAAATATTTTCTATCCATCCAAATTCCAATGGGTAGAAATAGTATTTAACTTCTGTGCTGCATCATCATATAATCCTCTTCACAAATGAAAACACATCTGCTTAGCATCCATGAACAACAACATTCAACATTGCTTTTTGAACAAAGGATCTTCCATGCACCAGTTCAGGACTGTCCCATTTCTAAGCGGCTGAGTGCACGCTATGCAGGTTGCACCATTGTGGGTCACAGGCTCCCCTCTCAGAGGCCACACATGGCCCATGGACGAGTTGGACAGTCCTATGCTAGTTTATGTAGATAATATGAAGATAGGAAGTTAGTATCCAACCCCTAACCCAGCTAAAATATACAGCACTGTGAAAACAGAATGATCAAATATTTGATCAAATATTATTTAGCAGATAGTTAAAGAGTACTACTTACCTTGGTCTTTGAAAGAATAGGGGCACCACGATCAAGCAACATTTCAACGACCTGTTCATGGCCGCTTCTTGCTCCACAGTGGAGAGGGGTCAGCCCATCCTATTAAACACAAACATTATAATCCATTTACTTCAGATATAGTGAAATATCATGCACTTAAAAATAGAAGAATTTTTGGGCATGTGAGTCCTGTATGCAGCAGGTCAGGTAATATTGCTTGAATCATTTATTCCACAAATGAAACAATATTTTCAAGTAAAAACGATTTGATCTTTTTTATTGCATATTCAACTCTAGTAGACATATAGCTAGGATTATAATGGTATGATCAATCTGTAATTCAAACTACAACTGCACTTTCATTCAGCGAGCCTGCTGCTCAGTCTAACTCAACATATTGAGGACAGTTTTGAAAGAGGCCAAATCACCAGAGCTGTGTTTGTCGACCTAACAGTATCCTATGATACAGTTAACCACTGATGACTCTTCCACAAGACCCTGGAAATGAGAAAAGATCTACACCTTACAGAGCTGATATGAAACCTGCTTGTAAACAGCCTTTTTTTGTCAAACTGGATGGGAAGTGAAATGGATGCAGCCTAGGGCTGTGCGAAGCTTTAGTTACCGATTCGATTTGGAGGAGATTCGGCCCAATTCGCTGGCCAAATCTCCAAATCTGAATCAAATCAGGAAAACCATTAAAAGGTCTGAATCAAATCCGAAGCCTCTGAATTGATTTGGAAAAGATTCAGAGATTCGGATTGGCCGGGGAGAGGCAGGCACAGCCAGTTGGCTGCAGGTTCTCCTGAGGCTCCTCTGGCTGTGTCTGCCTTTCCCCGGGCAGGAGGAGCTGCGGGAGAAGCTGCCATGGCTGTCCTGCCTGGCCCCATCCCCTGCCCGGCCCCAGCCTCCTGGCACTTTAAAAAAAAAAAAAAAAGGCAATCGGGGCCTCTGAGTGCTCGTGGCAGAGCCCCCCTGCACAGCATGGGGTAGTAGGGGGCAGCAGGGATTGCCCCCCCCACCACCTGGCATCTGCGTGGCAGCTGCCCCATGGCACAGCTGCAGCACGACTCAGCAGGGCTCTGCGTGCTGTGTGGGAGCTGGGACTGCTGGGGCTGAGCGGTGCCAGGCTCCAGCTGACCTTATAAGGTCTCACTCATTTTTTGAGCAATTGGCAATTAGTGTGTAACACCTGTACCTTGCAAGTGTGTGCAGCAGTAGGGAGTCAGCCCTCCCCCTGCCCTGGACAAGCCACTGACGGCCTCATCCTGCTCCCCACTGGGGCCCTGCAGCCACACATCATGGCCCTGGGCCCTAAGGCCCAAGCACCGCCCAGCTCAGCCCCAGGTCCACCCAACTTCCTCTCTTCCCCCCTACAGTGGCCTCAATCCCCCTCTCCCCCTCCCCCACATTTACCTGCTGGAGCTGCTCTGCAGGCTGCCTCGGGCCATGTGCATGTACATGTATGTTGTGCCCCCTGTCTCATTGCCTTCTTCTTGCTCCCTCTCAGCTCCCTGCAGGCTGGAACTCTGCCAGCCTGCAGGGAGCTCATTGCATAATTGAAAAATCCACAGGTTTGTCTGGTAAAATGAGAAATCCACATTTGCCTCCAGTAACAGTTAAAATCTACAGTTTACTCCATTTTTCCGTGAGAAACAGAAAACCCTGATCCCTGCTCATTGCAATGTACCTGATTCCTACTAATCTCTTCACTCCACAGACGTCAATGACCCTGTCTCCTTTTTAATATTCTTGATAACCATCTTCAGCTGAAGGTGCACAAGTTTGTTTAATTATATAAACTAACAAACTTGTGGACGTTCAAATAAAGTTGGTTTTGTTTTGATCTTGAACTGAATAATATAGTGGGAGGCCGCTCCTAGCCTGTTCCAGTCAGGGGATATGAGTATTGGCTGTGCAGGGTGCTGAGCTCAGCAGGGGACAGAGGTGGCAGGCAGGTGCCTCTTTCCTGCAACTGATTGCTACTCACTCTTGAGGTGTCCAATGCTGGCCTGGGAGCGCCAGCAGTGCCGGCCCCCAGCTCCTCTATGTTCAAGCTGTGATGCCAAACACATCTGTTGTACCCCCTTTTCTGAAATCCTAGATCTGCCCACGGTAGTATATAAAAGTATCTTGAGGTTATACAACTGAGCTAGTGAGTCTGAATTTTGACCCTTTAACAGTTTTTATCATAATTTGTTCATTTCTAGTTATATTTCTAATATGAAAACATTTCTTAAATAACATGATAATATCATCTAAGATTTACAGGGTGTTTTGATTATTTTTTTACCTGTGCCTTGTTCACAATGTTTAAATAAACTGTCTCATGTGCTGAACACTAGGATGGAACCTACTGTATATCTGTCTTAAGCAATTCAGAGTAATGTCAAAATGACTTTTTCAGTGCCATATAACATTATGCTTGTTACAAATAATAGTCACTGATTCAATGAAAAGAAGAAAGAATAAATATTTTCAGCAATATTCAATCTCCAATTGGTTACAACCAAGAAAAAATTGCGCAAGATGTAGCAACACAGTAAATACACTGACTATGCACTAAATATACCAGTGAAGATTTTTCCATGAAAAGGATGGAGCTAAACAAACAATTAATTTTAAAATGTCTATTATATTTTCATACAATTAATGAAAGAACTATTTGTTCTATTTGTCTAATAAACATCCCCTAAAAACTATATATAAACTGTAGTGACCAAAACATATTATCATTGTTTTATAAAATTATGTCATCAAACTATTTCACATGCATACTCTAACCAGAATAAAGTAGTAAATATCTCAACATTACTAAGCTAACTCCTGATCACCTGAAACCTTGATGTTTCTCAGTTTACTCTTTTGGGCTAGATAATCAGCTTACAATTGCTCAGTGCAAGAAGCAGTTTGGGAGGGAGAGACTGTGACTCAAAGAACCTTAAACTCCCTTCATTCTTTGCACTCACAGGTCCAGGCCATAATTTGGCTTTTTATTTGGCCATATGTTAGACTACTTTAATTTTACCACAGTACTGGGTCAAATTCTTACTTTACTTCTGCAAGTACTGGTTAAACTGACTGGTCTGATCTGGCCTTCAATGAAGTCAGGGGATGTTTGTTATTGACCTTCAGCTACATAAACACATTCAAAGGAACTGGGAGAATTATCCCAGGTTTGGTCTTATGGTAGAAAAACTTACTCAGAGCTGTGTGTACAGACATTCGAATACTGAGGCCCTGAATAGTGGAGAGCTTGCAGTGATGACACTCTGCAGCCAGGGAAGGACCCTGTGCCCACACTATGCTCTGCAGACTCCTTCAGTCTGCCTGGCAACAGATAGCAGAAGTGCATATGGCAGCCCTAATTGGCTAACCCAGACTGCCCATGGTTAGCCTGTGTTGTACAGACATTCATTCTCCCAAGAGACACTCTCTTGCAAGTGATTTAACTGTGATTGTTCCCAGGTTATTTTTTGCCTGGAGTGACTATTTTTACTTTGGGAGAAAAAGCCTGAGCATCTGTACACACATGGTTTCTCCTAAGAGAACAGTGACGCTCCCAGGAGAGCCTATATGAGACTGTAATTAGAGCAGGATGCAAGGAACTATTTGCATATGTAGGAGGAACAGAATTTGGCCCAGGCCATTCTTATTACACTTTCTGTAATTTCTATTTACTATTTTTTTTCTGTTACTGAATTCTGCAAAGCATTTGGAGACACGGTTCAAACAGAAAAAGCTGTACCAAATAAAGTTGTACTGATCTGTAATATATGGTTACAGTTATAGGAAAGAGGTAGCATATAGCCATAAACTGTAATTTTATCAGCTATAAAGAAATATTTATAATGTACCTTAAATATACTGTACAGAAGTACTGCATAACTTCCATGGCAACAACTTGAATGAGATAAGTGCTTTATGTATAAAACACTAAACACAACGCAAGCAGCCAGTGGTAGAAAACAAATATAATCTATCCTAAACAGTTCAACGAAAGGAAAGTGAAACTCACTTAACTCTGGGTGCAGCTTCCAACTGTAACTGAGAACACTTTGCAGGGAGCATTCTGAGTTACAACAATCCCCTGGACCAAACAGAAGTTCACTGCTGGTGTATTGGAGCCTGGGAGGGAGCCTCCAACACACCCATTCCACCCTCCAGCAGGGGCTGAAAACCCCCCAGACTGAACTCACTCTGCTCCCTGTCCCCCCTCCCATTCTGAAAACAGTGACAGGCTGTGAGGCAGTGCAGACAGAAGTTACAGAAGGCACTGTTTTGAAATTTCCTCATCTGACCCCTCATGCAATGAGGGTTCAGATTTTCACCTGACTGGCCATTTTTGAAGCTGTCTGCAATCATGCACTTGTGTTTGGTCACAGATAGCTTTCTGTAGCCAGATCAGGTGAAAACTGTCACTTCTGGCTCTGCTTTCCAGCTAGTTAGATACCTGTAAACAGGAACTAAACAACATATAATTTAAATAATACTCTGGCATGCATTAATTGATGCATCTCCAGCAAAGCCAAGCAGGTGATTCTTCCGCTCTGCTCAGCACTGGTGAGACCGCAGCTGGAGTACTGTGTCCAGTTCTGGGTGCCACACTTTAACAAGGAGGTGGACAAGCTTGAGAGAGTCCAAAGAAGAGCCACCTGTATGCTCAGAGTCTTAAAAGGCAAGCCATACAAGGAAAGGCTGAGGGATCTGGGACTCTTCAGCCTGAAGAAAAGAAGGCTGAGGGGAGCTGGTAGTAGCTAACCGCTATACTACAGGAGAACATCAGGGGATCGGTGAGCAACAGTTTACCAGGGCAACCGAGGGGAAAACCAGGAGTAATGGCCACAAGGTCCTGGAAGACTGATTCAGGCTCAACTTTAGGAAAAACTTCTTCACAGTCAGGGTGTCCAGACTGTGGAATAAGCTCCCTCCAGAGGTGGTGCAATCGCCTACCCTGGAAATTTTCAAGAGCACACTAGACAGTCACCTTGCTGGGGTCATCTGACCCAGAGTTATCTTTCCTGCTTGGTGCAGGGGGCTGGACCTGATGATCTTTGAAGGTCTCTTCTGGCCTTATAATCTATGAATCTATGAAATGT